AGGTAGTCAGCAGGGGTTGCAGGTGGTCAGCAGGTGTTGCAGGTGTTGCAGGTAGTCAGCAGGGGTTGCAGGTGGTCAGCAGGGGTTGCAGGGGTTGCAGGTAGTCAGCAGGGGTGAGAGGCAAGAGAGAGAGCCCAGATAAGGACATTCCACAGTATTTGTTTTTGGGGCCACCTATACATTTTGCAGACATGGTGAATCCCACGCTTCTTTCTGGGTGGTGTGCATAACTCCAGTGGGCTGGGCACCAGCTGACGTCGCTTAGTTGGGCTGGGAAGATGGGCAGAATAAGCTTTGTCAACGGAAGAAACGTCTGCTGCTGTCCTTAGTAACGCTGCCACCGCACCTCTCATTCTGGAACTCATGCCCATGGGGCCGCACGCGTCAGGGCCCTAAGGTTTTGCAGAGCCTGTGAGGCTGGTATCAACTCCTGGATGGCCACTGACCTCAACTGCCAGGTCCGCACACAGCATGAGCCGAGAGGGCAGGGGAGCGAGGCGAGGTGGTCTAATCGATATTTTGCCTTTGCATCATTGCAGCCCTGGTGGCATAGTGGTTACACCTTGGGCTGCTAACCATAAGGTCAGCAGTTCGAAACCACCAGCCATCCCACAGGAGGAAGACGGGCTTTCTACTTACGTAGAGAGTGACAGTTTTGGAAACCAGCGGGGCCGGTGTTACCCTGCCCTATCGGGTAGCTGTGAGCCGGCATCCACTGAGCGACAGCGAGTTTGGTTTTGGTTATTTGGGCTTGGGGTATTGTTCCCCATCAGGGTTTCCTTTCTGATGAGGTTTAGGGGTGACCTGTGGGGAAACTGAGTTTGCAGACTCAGAGCTCCTCAGCTCCTCTCCCTGCAAAGGCAGGCTCTAATCGTACCGAAAAGCAGCCTGAGGACTATTCCTCTGGTTCCTTAAGGATTCCTAACCCCCACTATCATGACCCCAGTCCCGCCTTTCCGTTCTGGCTAGACCAGAGCATGCGCACAGGTACAGATCAGAGCTCACGACACACAGAATCCAGGTCAGATAAACCCCTCAGGAACAGAAATGGGAGTAGAGATACACACACACCCAAGGAGAAGGAACAGCAGAAACTGTGAAGGAGGGGAGACAGCCTTCAGTGTAAGATATGAAAATAATAATAACGTATAATTTATCAAGGGGTCACGAGAGTGGGAGGGAGGGAAAAAAGAGGGGTTGATACCAAGGGCTCAAATAGAAAGTAAATGTTTAGAAACGATGACGGCAACCTAGGTACAAATGTGCTTGGTACAATTGATGCATGGATTGTTATAAGAGCTGTAAGAGCCCCAACAAAATGATCTTTAAGAAAAGAAAAGCAGTCTGAAACCGAGGCTGCTGACCACCCCCAAGTGTGATGGGGGTGGACATGGGTTGTGACCCCTGGACTCCCTACCTGCCCAGTGCACCAGCTCACCCTCTGCTGCCCGCCTGGGTCCCCAGGTCCCTGGATGAGAAGCAGCTGACACGGCTGAGCCCTGCCTTCTCTGCACGCTCGGGAGCAGGGCCTCGCAGCCCCGGTGGCACCGATGCCGAAGAACAGCAAGGTGACCCAGCGTGAGCACAGCAGCGAGCATGTCACGGAGTCCGTGGCCGACCTGCTGGCCCTCGAGGAGCCGGTGGACTACAAGCAGAGCGTCCTGAATGTGGCCGGCGAGGCAGGCGGCAAGCAGAAGGCAGCCGAGGAGGAGCTGGCGGAGGACCGGCCGGCCTGGAACAGCAAGTTGCAGTACATCCTGGCCCAGATCGGCTTTTCTGTGGGTCTGGGCAACATCTGGAGGTTCCCCTACCTGTGCCAGAAAAACGGGGGAGGTAAGAGGCAGCTCTGCCTAGCCTGGGTGCCCGGCCAGAGGGGTGGGCTGTGGGGGTCAAGGGAGGCTGGCTGGGGCCCTGGTGGGGAGACACCCCTGGGACAGCCATGGCAAAGCCTAGCAGCACTCCAGAGCTGCAGAGCAAGATGATGAGAATGTGGGCTCTGGCTCCCAAACTATCAGGCTGAAGGAAGATCCCAGCCCACCCAGTCAGCCCTGGGAGCACGGGTGGGCACCCAGTCAGCCCTGGGAGCACGGGTGGGCACCAGCTGCTGGACCCTTTTGTGCCGCAGCTGTTGAAATGAGGAGGATGGTGGTTCCTGCTTCCCCAGAGAGCTGGGGACTTAAAGAGCTTGACATGTAACATGTTTAGCACACGTAACTGAAGCAGAGAACCAAACACACTGCCATCTAGTCGGTCCTGAGTCAGTGTGACCCGATGGACAGGGTAGAGCTGCCTCCTTGAGTTGCTGAGACCGTAACTCTTTACAGAAGTAGAAAGCCCATCTCTCTCCCACAGAGTGGCTGGTGATTTTGAACTGCTACCTTGCGGTTAGCAGCCCAACCCGTAACCACTAGCATGCCAGGGCTCCGAGCTGACATGTAGTAAAGACAAAGGGTGGCCACTAATCACTGGAAGCTTACTAGGTGGTTGGAACGTTCTAAACCTGTCATGGATGTTAGATGCATGGCATTAGCTTCCTGGGTGGAAATGAGCCTGAAGCTGCCCACATCTTCTTCTCCACTTCTAATACCCACCGCCCAGCCAGCCTCTTTGTGTATGTGTGTGTGTGCCACCACCCAGGACTAGATTCGACCTTGTCCATCAAGTGGCACTGCCCCTGGTTTCGTGAATTCACTGGACCAACTCAGAAAATACACTTGAGACTTTCCGGGAAAAGGAAGTAAACCAGGCCCGTCGTGCAGACAAAGTGCACCGCTCCAGTGTGGGGAGGTTCCCAGTGCAGACCAGCTGTGCCTCAGAGGGCACCCCGCCCTTCCCTTGCAACCAGGAAGCCCTCCAGGCTTTTATTGGCCTGTGGGTCAAACCATGCCTCTGAGGCTACTGAAAGCCAGCCTCCCAAGTGAGTCTTTCTGGTCTGGCCAGCCTGGACCCCCAGATGTGGCTGGAAGGGCAGGCCCAGGCACCCCATCACTCCAAAGTGTATTTTTCCAGAGCCCAAAGCAAGGGGGTCTTCGCTTCCTTATTACGTCCTTTGCCCACAAGTTAACCCAAAGACTACTGTTACCGGAGCATTTTTGAACAACCAAAGTCCGCATTTCGGCTGCTTCCACCTGTTCAGGAACTCGCTGCGACCCCCCCCC